TCTCTCTCTCTCTCTCTCTCTCTCTCTCTCTCTCTCTCTCTCTCTCTCTCTCTCTCTCTCTCTCTCCGGGAGCACCCGAATGGCAGTCTATAACCAGTCACATGTGGACAATGCTACCCCGAAAGTCTGTCTTTAAATGACAAGACATCCAACCGATCCCTGTTCCACACGCCTTCCGCAATCGGTCACATTAGTGGGTAAGAAAGTGTAAACGGATCCACTGACTGTATCAGTCCCACGCCTTGGAGTTCACATGCGTGCACAATGAATCACGCAAGGCTTCCCTAACCGCACGCCTTGCGGTTGATGTCATTGGAACTCTGGGAGGGTGGGGGTGAGGGGGCTGCCCTGCCCCACACACGCAACAACTCTTCATCCACGCGGTCCCCCCAGTTGTGCAGCAGATTGTGAAGGACACAAACGGCTCTGAACTGGTCCACCACTGTTTCGGAATGGATGATGTGCGGCCTGTGGAACATCTGAAACCGCAGCTTCAAGTGACTATTCCCTCTCTCAGCACTCGATCTCACAATGGAATGACGATCATCGAAATTCTTCATGGCAGGTGTGGCGTTAGTGGGACCATAAGGCCTCACAATCCACGACAGTGTTGGGTACCCGCCATCAGCCAGTAAATATCCCCGTGTCACTCCAGGGCCCTGCTGGCGATTGCGACGGAACGGGTCATCGGCGTCATCGACGAACAACCGTCCGCTCTCAGCCCGTGTAAACAGCGACGAGTTCCGCAGGATGCGGGCATCATGCACTGTTCCTGGCCACCCGACATTTAGATGCACTACACGCAGTTCGTCATCGAAAGTAATTTGAGCGAGAATTGAGAAACGCTTAGTCCTCCCCGAGCAGTAATCATCACCGTTTGCATTCTTCGACTTATCCATGTACAGGTGCGTGCAGTCAATGCAACCCCAGCAATTGGGAAATCCCCTCCTCGCGTGTGCATCCATTGTCCTCTGCCTCTTCGCATAGTCCCCAAATGAAATGACACGCGGGAAGCATTGGATGATGGCTGCTGTCACATCACGTACAACCCTTATCCCGCTCGTCTTCGAAAGCAGCGCTGCTATGCCAGTAGCTGTCTCCATGCGCCGATCGATGCCAGGATCTGGCCTAGATCCAGAGGACGGCGGAACCTCGTCACACAACGACTCAAAAACGGACGAACAACATCCAACAGTCGATTGAATGTCCTGCGGTGCATCCGCAAAAGCCGGAAACAGCAGTCATCATCAACGTCATCCCTTATCTGAAGATTCTTCCACAAGCCTGGGGCACGCCGCATCACCCACCATCGTGGCGAGTGCCGCAGCATAACATCCGGTAACTGGAGCAGGATCAGCAACAGCGACATCCCTGACATTCTTGCGAAGTTGTGGTACAAAGCAACAACGTCTCTCTCTGACAACTACCCTTAATCATCGTCCTCATCCACTGTCTGCCCCTCAGAGCCGCCACCCCCTCTAAAAGCCGGTGACATTCGTCCAACAGAGCAACACCAAGAACGATGCCAGCGGCAATCAAATTCTGCCGTGCCCTCCCGGAAAGACGGGCCATCTCTCTCTCTCTCTCTCTCTCTCTCTCTCTCTCTCTCACACACACACACACACACACACACACACACACACACANCACACACACACACACACACACACACACACACACACATAGACACACACACACACACACACACACGGGGGCAGCTGGAGGCAATTGCTCCCGTTCCCGAATACTGCTACCGAGGCTGACTGCGTGACTACTGAAGATGGTGCCAGCCAATGCAGTGAAGGAGCGACAGTGGATGGTACGGGCGGTGAAGGACGGCAGTCCTTGGAACTGGCGGAAAGAATGGCTTGTCCACTGCACAACTGTCCCACGAATGGGCCTTCATCCACTACCCTCCGCACGCAGAAACATTAAAAATATGCGTGGTGCATCTTCCCATGTTGTAGCGGAAGATTCACTGTCGTCTTGCACATTTCGACAGTACTGGAGCCCTGCCCACTCGGCCTTGCTCAACTACCCACTTGTAGAGCAAAACGAGAGTGAATCTTCCGCTAGAACATGGACAGATACACCGCGCAGATTGTGCCCTTTTCTGCATGCGGCGGGTAGTGGAGCGGGAGGCCGAACATCACGTTACCGAAAATCCCAACGTGAAGCCCACAAATGCCGCGTAACCGAACCGAACCTTCCAACGAGCCAACTGCCAGAGGAATTACACCCTGCATCAACGGCCACAGATGCCCATGTACACCCCTTGCCTGTCCTTCACAGGAAACAAAGCTGTGCACCACTTGCAGTAACGTTCTACCGACCCATCATTGTCTGCGTACTGTCCCATCGACCTCCGTTGTTTCCTCCACGGCAGAACGTCAGACGTGGACAATCCCTGATTTATGTTTTTTTCATTCTTTATGCTTTTCAAATTCACGTCTATCATTTTTTAAATGCGCCGCACCATGCCGCACTGGTTTCATAAACTAAACTAAACCAATGCTAGTGGGACTTGGCTCCCGAACTTCCTCCCCAACTGCGCACTCCCACCCCGATTTCTCCCGATCCTTCCCTAGCTTCCGGTATCAATCGGGCACAGAGTGGTGGTGGTGGTTGGGGGGCGGGGGGGGGTGCAGAGAGAGGGAGGTTGGGGGAAGGGGATCTGGGTTGGGGTCCTACACCTATTATTCCAATCACTACTAATTAATACTAGACTACTAGGATCGCTTCTTCCTCGATTAAATCGATTTTATATATATATATATATATTTTTTTAATATATCATTCTTAAAATTCCCCAAGAATTCGAATCTTATTTAATTTCATCAAAATTCACTCGGAAAGTTGGAATTATTTTAATTAATTTCAAAAAGAATGATATCGCAAACTCTTCTTCTTTTCTTTTTTTTTTGTACAAAGCAAAGAGATCATTATTATTCCAAACAGGCGGAAGCCGGGAAAACTTCCACAATAACAAGTTGAACCCGGAAAAGACAAACCTGGGACTAGTACTCAGCTTAGGTGCAGGCGAGGGGGTATGTCTGGCTGCAAAAATGGCCAACTCTCGACCGTTGCTCCGACATTTCCCCACCCTGGTACAACAAGTTGCCATCAAGGCCATACAAACCAAACATACCTAAAAGCATAAAACCGGAGGAAAGAGGAGGGACGTACTTTCTGTTCCTATGTTCCCCCCAAAAAGACCGACCTAACGCATAAAACCGGAGGAAAGAGGAGGGACGTACTTGCTATTCCTATGTTCCCCCCAAAAAGACCGATCTAAAGCATAAAACTGGAGGAAAGAGGAGGGACGTACTTGCTATTCTTATGTTTACTCAGTTCGTCCTTTGTAGCGGACCCACCAGGTATGGTGCTCCGCTAGTGGTAGAGATGGAGATGGAGGAAGAAGGGGGAGCAAGATGACGCACAACGCAGCTCCCACCCAGGACTCCAACGCACGTACTCCAGAAATGTGCAAGTGAAGAATGAGACTGAAAACGGACAATGGCTGGGGTATACCCCAGCGGACTGACGGGACTGGACTGGACTGGCTGGTACCGACAGAGGTACCGGCCTGG